ACTTTTCCAAAGGCTATTTTAAAATGATTCAAATTAATTCTGTGCATGCTTTTAAACACAGGTGTTTCAATAGAGAATATAACTATGTATATTTTTGTCAAACAAATACGTTTTATCAGACAATAATTCCCTGCGTGTGTTTCATACAGATATATATTTTCATAGCTGTAATTCCTTCCAGTTTTGTTTTTAAAGAGATATCAATATACATTTTTCAGACAATTCTCTGCGCATTTTTCGAAACATAAGAATTACTAGAAAGTACATTTTAAAAACATACAAATTATGAGAACTTAGCTCTCTGCATGTTCGTACAACAGGTGTGTTTTAATACAACGTATATTTCTCGACATGAGTTCAATAATCCTCTGTATGTTCCCCAGAAGGATGTGTTTTAAGAGGAGGCGTGTTTTAATTGAACATATTTCTCAAACAAATTACTATAATATAGGCTAATTACGTGGATGTTCATCGAAACAGTTATATTTTTAAACAGCGTAATTATCTGTATGTTATTTGAAACAGAATGTTTTTAAAAAAACATCAATCTCAGGGTGTTTTTAAAACGGTTATGTGTTAATAGAAAGTAATGCTTAAAATATTTATGAAACAGGTGTGTTGCCATAGAACATAATTCTCTCTATGTTGTTTTAAAACATGCTTCTATGTATGATTTCTGAAATAGGTGCGTTTCAACAGAACGTAGGTCTTTGTATCTTTTTACAAACAGATGCCTTTTAAGGTTAAGAATTTCTTTGCGCTTCTTTGAGCGGAGTGTGATAATCTCATAGATCGTAACACTTTAACTATGTTTTAAATACGCGTGTTTCAACAGAATATAATTCTCTATATGCTTATTCATAAACAGTGTATTTTAACAGTGGTATATTTAAAATGGCAGAACTTCTGTACGCTTGTCAAATAGGCGATTTATAAGTGAACGTACCTATCTGTATTTTTTGAAAAGAATACGTTTGGACTGAGTGTTATTTTTGTATTTATATGAAACAGGTGTTCGTTTTAATAAAAGTTAACTATTTATATATTCTTTTCAAACAGGACCAATTTAATAAAACTAATTATCCATACAGTTTAAACAGGTGTTTCTTATTAGCAGAAGTTCTATGTATGCTTCTCAAACATAATGTAACATAAGTTTCTGTATGTTTTGTAACAAGTATTTTTCATAGGTTTATTTTGAGAAGTATATTTTAATGTTTTCTAGGTAATTTTTAAACGGGTGTGTTGAATGGAACGTGATTCCCTGAAAAGATTTGTAAACATATATGTCGTAAATAAACGTAACTCTGATTTTTTTGCGAATATATTTAAGCAAGGCATCATGTTCATTATGTTTCTACGAATATGCATTTTAATACCATGTAATCCTCAATTTGGTTTTCATTTAGTTTGTTTATAGTTAAGCACAAAGCTATAAATGGGGTATCTAGTTTCTAGCGTTTTAAGACCGCAGTCGTATCTCTGTGCCACTGAAGGGGGGCGTAGGCTTTTCAAATAGGAGTGTTTTATCAGAAAGAAAGTCTATACATATACATATTTTAATAGGTGTCTTTTAAATAAATGTAATACTCCTCATGATGTTCGAAATATGTGTTTTAAGAGAATGTCATTCTATAAAAAGATAAAACTGGTGTGTTTTAAATTATCGTAGTTCTTTATATGCTTTTAAAATAGATGTGTTTAATAAATTGTAACCCTTTGCATGTTTTGAAAAAAAATTGTATGTTTTGTTTTGAAAGAACACAAAGGAAACAGTTATGTGTTAATAGAAAGTAATTCTTAGCAATTTGTTGAAACAGGTGTGTTTCATAGAAAGTAATTCTTAGCAATTTGTTGAAACAGGTGTGTTTTCATAGAAAGTAATTCTTAGCAATTTGTTGAAACAGGTGTGTTTCATAGAAAGTAATTCTTAGCAATTTGTTGAAACAGGTGTGTTTTCATAGAAAGTAGTTCTTAGCAATTTGTTGAAACAGGTGTGTTTTCATAGAAAGTAGTTCTTTCTATATTGTTCTGATTGTTGTTGTTTTTAGCGCAAAGCTACAAAACTGGCTAGTTGCGCTCAGACCACCGCGAGGAATCGAACCTTGAAGTCTGAACGTTGTAAGTCTTGAGACTTACCATTAACCCATAGAAGGAAACATGCTGTTTTAAAACAGGTGTGTTTCAAGAATTTTGTATATGTGTTTCTGAAATAGGTATGTTTTAATAGACCATAATTCTATATGTTTTTCAAACAGATGCCTTTTCATAGCAATTAATCCATTTTAATATTTTCTCCCCAGTGCTTAACTACAACAAACTTTTGTTTTAAATATTTTTGAATGGAGTATTTTGTAATAGGAATCACTTTGAAACATTTTAAAAGGAAGTGCGTTTCAATGGAACTTAACACTGTATTTTATTTAAGAAAACTGTGTTTTGATAGATTGTAATTCTCTGTAAGAAGTTTTAAATGGGTATCTATAAAATGATATTAATTCTCTGAATGTTTTTAAAACAGGTGTATTTTTATAGATCATAACTCTCTGTAGGAGGTTTTAAATGGGTATCTCAAAAAATTATATTAATTCTCTGCATGTTGTTAGACAGGTGTGTTTTGATAGATCGTAACTCTCTGTAAGACGTTTTAACTGGGTATCTGTAAAATGATATTAATTTTCTGTGTGTTTTTAAGACAGGAGTATTTTGATAGATCGTAACTCTGTAGAAGTTTTCTTAAAGAAACACATCTTATTGAAACAAGCATATGTTATATATGAACGTAACTCCATGTAACTACTTCGCAGGGTGTTGATGGATCTAAACTAAAATTGGTATGGAAGTAGGTTCATTTGTTCCACACAGATTTGCAGTTTTGCATTTTGCGGTTTTATGGGCATTTTTGAGTTTTTCCAACTACTTCGCCCCCTGTTGATGAACATCTTCACCAAACTTGGCACGAAGGTTTGTTGAGTCCTAGCGGAGATACATGCAAATTTGCGGTTTCAC